AGCCTGTGAGTGTTACTACCGTACTGGCAATATATATGGTCGCAGTGAGGCCATAAAGCGTTACATTGGCACATGTTTACCGCACGCAGGGCGTTACATGCAAAGTCGCACAGGAGCCGTTACACAGGTTTCTATATTGCCGCAGTCCTTTTTTTGCTATTGCCGCATCACTGTTTTGCTATTGCCGCATCATTTTTTTGCTATTGCCGCATCATTTTTTGCAAACTGCAATGAAAAGATCGCCGCACCCCGCCGGACGCGCGTTACGAACGCAACGAAAATTTTTCGCACTAGCCTGGTAGCGCGTTACGCCGCACCCCCTGCGTTACGCGTTATGCGGCAACATATATTGCCAGTACGGTAATACTTCTAACGAACGGATCCTTTGTTCTCAGCTCCTGAAGTCCACAGAAGTCGACCCAGTACGTTTGCAAATCACGAGCGAGTTGACGATGTTTTTAGCATGGTCGCTATTGGCAGAGGAGTGCCGGTGTATTGGACATGCCTCTCTCGTTCAACTTCTTAAAGGGGAAGTTAAGGCAAAAATTAAAATTTCACCAGTTGTAGTCTTCGGGGTGCTGAGTCGAATGGTCGTGGTCCGAGGAAGCTGAGACGCTCCCTTCCTACTTGAATCCCAATCGAAATCGCGGACTTCCACCGAAACTGGGTGACTGCGCCCTACTAGATGGGGATTTGTATGCAAAATGTCACTAAAAGCGCCATTTCGTTCTTATAAAAGCATGGATGCCCGCGATTGGCCCATATGTTGTAGTCTTTTGGACGCTGAGTCGACTGGTTTTGGTCCGAAAAGGCTGCGATGCAGCGTTCCTCCTTTATTCCCAATCGAACATGGTTGAAGAAGCGGTCACGTGCTCTTGCGTACACCAGTCACCTGGTCACCGTCCCTGCAGGGTACAACTTACTAGCCTGTTGAAGTTGAACCTTGGTGTGAAAGTTGTCGCCTGCTGGCGTGGTGACCAGGTGATTTGGGCACCCAGGAGCACGTGACCGCTTGTTCAACCATGTTCGATTGGGAATAAAGGAGGTGCCATTTTGCATACAAATCCCCATCTAGTAGGGCGCAGTCACCCAGTTTCGGTGGAAGTGCGTGAGTTCGATTGGGATTCAAGTAGGAAGAGAGCGTCTCAGCTTCCTCGGACCACGACCATTCGACTCAGCACCCCGAAGACTACAACTGGTGATTTTTTATTATTTTTGCCTTAACTTCCCCTTAAAAAGTCTCCAACATTGCGTCCATCCACTGAGTCATCCGTATTTGCTGCTCAGGATCAGGTGGTTAATACCAGGAACTACCAGAGATCGGTTATTGGCGACACTTCCGTGGTGGACATGTGCCGTTTGTCCGGAGGTCCGGGGGAGACTGTTGACAATATTTTGCCATGCTGCCCCGTGTTGGCACGGACGGCATACATTATTCGCCATAATCGTCTTGCCGCTATAGTCCACCGGGTACTCTGTCATCGCTACAAACTGGTATCTCCTGCTCCCCTGGCCACTTTCCACACTACGTCGAGGATAGTGAAGGCCGTAAGTTAATGTGGGAAATGCCAATCCCTACAGATAGGATGGTTGGAGAAAATCGGCCGGATCTTGTGTGGGACGATGGCAAGTCAGTCCAACTTAGTGATGTCAGTGTGCCACTGGATCATAGAGTAACACTAAAACATGCTGAAAAGAAAGCGAAGTACTTGCCCCTCGCAGTGGAAATTGGGCAGATTTGGCAGCAGGAGCCAGTGTCCGTAGTGCCCATCATAGTTGGTGCTCTTGGTGGCCTGACGAAAGAAGTGGCTACCTCAATTAAGCAGCTATGTGGAGAAGAGCGGCACCTTCACGAACTGCAGCAGGCTGCTATCCTTGGCTCGATGGCCATTCTAAGATCTGTTTTGGGTGCAGTATAGGGCTTTTTGCTGTCCCTGATGGGCTTCTTATGCTCTGTATGTTATTGTATTCGTTTTAGGTTGTAATTGAAACACTGAGGTGCCCAGTGATGAGCTTTGCCGGCCTGAATATTTCGCCAACTTCTGATGCTCCCCTTTCTGCAATACCTGTTGTCATGATACCTCTGGGCTTTAGTGCCTGTGATGGTACATGCGCCTTTCTCCCTTCCTCTCTCTCTACCTTACTTTTTTCCGTATATTTTACCGTGCTGCTTACCTTTGGCTATGATAAGTCCGTTGAGTTAGTGTAATACCTCCAATTTCTATTTTTATTTTCAATTTGGAGTGGAATAAAGAATCATAATGTATCGGCGTTCTACTTGGTGTCCACCTCGCTATCTTCCGTCATAGCGAGTGTGTCCCACACCTCTACCTCTCGGCAAACACGCACAACGTATTAGTGAAAAGACTCCTCTGACCGCTGCTTGCCTGTCAGCAATGTCTTTCACACTTTTCCTGGCGTCTTTCCGAGCGAGGCAAGCAACTCTCGCTTTGCTTCCTCGTAGTTATTGCAGCCAATCCAGATCCTCTCCGCTGTGCTACCCGCTAGCGTGATACGCAATCGCAGCAGCCATTCCCTTTCTTCGAACTCGTTCTTGGAACAGATGTCCTCGAACAGGCCGAAATAACGCTCCAGTGGCTGCGTTACAACATATGAGGGGATTTTCATCAACGGTTTACGCCCACCGCTGTGACTGGGAGCTTCCACTGTACCTCCCATCGCACTCTTACTGGCGGCTTCACCATCATCCTCATACGCCTTGGCTACGCGCTCGGTAATCTCTTTGAGATTTTTGTCAAACTTGGTGCTGAGCGCCTCCTCTTGCCGTCTGGCACTGCGCTCCTCACGCTCCGCGCACTGTCGGAGCCTCTGCTCTACATGTTCCTCCAACTTCTCGCCTTCCAATCCTAACCGAATTACATTGGCGATGAAGATGGCCTCCGAATTACCTAGTGCCTCTGCCATGCGCGCTTCAATCCTGGCGTGGTCGCAAAATGTTGTGAACCCTTCTGATTCTCTAAAAGTCAGGAACGAACGAGCACACGGCACGAGGACACCTATTTTCTCTTCAGCAGTATTGAAGCCATGAGGCATTCGCCCATTGCGGATAATTCTCTAAACTTGTGACAATGACAGATTCTTTTCAAAAAGCATTGAGATTTCCAGAACCTTCAAACCTCATGGCACGCACTTTCTTTATTTCTGCTCCATTTCTTCATCAATATAACAAAAAAGGAGGGGGGGGGGGGTTGTCAACATAACGAAATATTAATTAAACGAACCATAAAGAAGACCGAGGATTTTTGTACCTTTTCTAACGCCATGATCAGCCAAAGACTATGAATCCCTTGGGAAGTCCCAGTTTAGGTATACTGTCATATTCAGTTCTCACCCAATTTGTAACAATTCAAGCCAGTATATGGCCCAATATCTGAGAAAATCGACCTTCGGGGCTGTTTTGGTGAAATTGATTTTTTTGTTGCAAATTGATGTCTAGCCTTTGTTGAGTATTGTCACTTCGTTTCACGGCCATCAGACCAATATTGACCATGTAGAAATCCATTTTACAGTCAGGAGTCATGTTAATGAATTGTTCTTTTTTTTACAATTTTGAAAGATGTGTTTGGAGCCACCAAAAATTGTTTCCGTGTGATATCAATAGCCAACTAATATAGTAAAGTGTTTTGACTGTTCAGGTACTTCATTTCCAGCATTCCGTGACTTTATTGAGGTTGTGTAGTTTCAACAGCAGCAATAGCAGCATTAGAAGGAGAGGTGATTTATCTGTTCTCCTGGTGATGGACATGCTTGACAGGATAGTCTGCAATAGATTTTGACGGAACACCATGATACATGTAACAGCATTCACATACTTATTGTGAAGGAGTCAAACAGAGCAAATGCGTCCAGATTCGCTTTGTCACACTTTGTGGAGACTGACCATTTCCAAACATCAGTAACACAGCCTGGCAAGCGTTTCACACCACCAACTCAAAAGTAACAGAATGTTACTAGTACTCGAGATTGCCCAGCCTCACGTGCTCCGTGATGGTCTGATTCGCCATTATTGGCTCGAGTATCGAGCTTGCCATCCAAAACATTTTAGGATCATCGTCGCAAAGAAAACTCGCATCATTTCGTGCTGTTTTAGCAGGTCTGGCGTGACACTCAGGAAACAGTTCTGCCACCCGCGCAAGGGCGGCCAGCGGCCTTGCAAGCGGCGTACCCTCAGGAATTCACTTGGTTGTCCTTGCCTGGAGCTGTAGCAGCTATCGCTGAGGCAGACTGTGGTTGGCCTTGATCATACTCATCCAGGCCAAGTCCTCATCATCGTCGCCCCCGACAGGTAAGTACCGCGTGTCACTTGCGATCGATTTGACTGACATGCGCTCTCAGAACTAGAAGCGCTGTCGCCGCTTGACAGGATATCCACAAAGAACGATGCATCACCGTCCATGGGATCGCGGCTGCTGTGCTCCGTGAGCCCAATAACCAACTGACACAAGAATCGCCTTCCATTTCCTTCCGCCATTGTCGTCTCTGCACTTTGCTTCGACAGATTCGATTTTTTTGCGAACAAATTTGTTTTTAGTGTTTTCTCAAAAAAACCGCGTAGCCCCGAAGGTCGAAAGTCTCAGATATCGGGCCATATTGTTAATTTTTTGGCGGCCCGTTATTTGTCTGCATTGTCAAACAATGCATCATTAGAAATTAACAGTGGTTAATGTGAACTGTGTGTCTCCAGTGTTAACCAATGCATCGTTAGAAAATCAATTATGTTTTCTTAGCTTTGCAACTAACCTCTTGCTTAACAATAGAGGAAAAATGCTGGAGACTATATTTACAGTGGTGTATGTGAACTGTGCAATCTTACCAAGTTGCAAACGAATCATGTTGTGGTAAGGAGTCTAGGTTATTTCTGAAAACAAGGTCATGATTCGGCCTTTTAGATTAGAACTTCAATATCCTAGACTCGGTGTTTTGTGCACTACCCGGAACATAGCAAGAGCAACATTGTCTTTGTGCTTTTTCGTTTGTAGATATTTGAACGATAATCAGATCCAGAATTTAAGTGACGGTGTGTTCTCTGGTCTACCAAACCTCCAAATACTGTAAGTATTCTCAACTGCACCACTGAACGCAGGGAATAGTAATTATACCTGTGTGTATATAGAGTACTGCTGGATACGTGATGAACAAACCTCTAATATCTTTGAGTAATATTATCTGCTGCACTGGATTGAAGGGAACAGTTGCAGATGCTTTGTGTAAAGCACTTGTTGCGTATCGTTTAAATAGAAAGAAAGACGTTTCATGGCTCAATTTCGTTGTGGTCCTTTGGTATATTTTGTGTTTTTTCGCTCTCCTTTTCCCCCAGTTGGACTGTTTTGGTTTCACATCCAGTTTGTGCATGCACCATGGAACGGTTACGTCATTGTAATGCGTTTTGTTTTGTTTTGTTTGCGTGCATGCTCATGTGCGGGCATGATTTTTGTCTTTTCCTTCAGTTTCCAGTTACCCTTGTTGTGTGCGGTCTTCTTTGTTTGTCCGTTGCCCGCCTCCGTCTGGTCGAATAATTAAATTATGTAAAACTTAAGTTCAGTTTTGTTCTTGTATATGGCGGGTCGGATAGGCAGGGAGGCTTGGCGCCTGACGCCTGGCAATATGTGCGGGAGCACAAAAGTGCTTTATCATTCTAGTGACCCCTCAACATCTCACAGCTCGTCTTCTTTATCCCAAATCCCATTGCTACATCACTGCTCTTGTCTATCATTATTTACGCAATACAACCGGCTTGGACAATCGACTCGCCATGATGCTCCTCTCAGTCACAACCTCTGTAATTCTACATAGATTCATAGTTTCTTCTGCACATTAGTAGGGGTAATCGGATTCTGCTCGGAAATGACCAGATTGTGCTCTAGCGGATGGTCGCAGGATGCTCGAGAAAACAGCTAATTATGCTTTCACGTGCTTCACCAAAAAGACCAAAAACAAAACAGATGACGATAATGAAAAAAGGACTCAGAAGAAAAAAAAGGATTCAGACCAAAAATATCTTAAATAAAAAAAATTATTCCAAATCGACAAGAAGCGCTATGTACATGTATGGTCCTTCAATAGCAGGTGTGTATCTAACAACCTCATTGGGAATCTGCCCCCTTTTCGGATAACCCACATTATGGTATCATATTATACGTGTGGAGAAAGAGGCGAACTATTTTACTTCATGAAGCTACTGGTGTCAAATGCTTTTGACATTTCGAGGCTAAGGACTTGGCGATCCCACACGAAGTAGGTGGTTTTAGCTGAAATCCAGCGCTGTGTCCACACCACATTGGCAGTGTCACGGCCAGGCCTGAAACCAGACAAAGTCAGTGTTACCAAGTGCCCTCTACCCCCCTGTGTATTGCCCAGTGCCATTTTGCAGAATTTTTCAGAGTTTTCCGTACTCGTTTTTCATTCCCCAAGAAGCTAAGGACCTTTCTTCCCTCCGCCTTTTTAAGAGCCTTGTCGCACCTTGACTTTGATTTTGTGTTTCTCATTTTGTTGCAATCACTGCTTATCCATGCCAGTTCCTTTTTTCTCCCTCCTCCCCTTCTCCCTTCCTTGCCGTGGTTGGCTAACACCCTCTCTCTTTGTATTGCCGGGTGTTCTCACTGTGCTATGAGATGCTGTAATAAATAAATAAATAAATAAATAAAATAAATGTCAACATTTTGACTGATTTAGTTCACCTGTGAAGCCTATGTTCGAATTCAGTACAATTGTCAACTTCACCAGGCATAAGCATAAGCTGCATCTGAAACAGGCAGCGTGGCGTGAGGCTCTTGTTGATCAATTGTCTTCTTTGGCATCAGCTCTTGCCTTGACTGCCGTGGCCAGGTTCGATTTCAGGCGTCCACGCACACCAGTGACATCTCGACGGAAGTAGTTGTCCATTGCCTGATTTGGCGGGGCCTCTGAGGGCAGTCTCAGAACATGACCCAGCATCCGGAAACGGCGGACAGCAACGATGTGCGAGAGTGGCTGTGTGTGTGCTCTGGAATATAGGTCTTTGTTGGAGATGATGGTGGCATACCTAATTCCGAAAAATGTCCGTAGTTGACGTCTATCAGTCCCCAGATTTCGCAGCCTCCATCAGTCCCCAGATTTCACAGTTGTGGAACAGCGTTGGTAGGACGATGGCATTGCATAGACAACGCCTGGTTTCCTCGGATACAGGTTGACGTCGTATACAGAGCGAATACATGCGGCAATGCGATGTTGATGCTTGGTCTATTCGTGGGCTCAAGTCTCCCTCTTCCCCAAGAGAGAGCCAAGTTGCTTGAATCTTCGCCATTTGATGGTGGAGGTAGAGATGTGAAGCCACTCTATTTTGCTACTGTTAACGTTGAGTGACCAGTCAGCTACCACGGTTAGGGAGTTGTCAAGCCACCGTTGCTCAGGCGAATAGAAGGAAATGTCATCGGCATATCCTGTTTCCTGTGGTATTGCTGCATCAGTGTCTGGCCGTGGTGGTAGTTTGCTTCGAGTCTTCTTCACTGCTGCTTTCAGGTAGCAAACGGACCAAACTGGGCTCAGCCCATCACCCTGTGGTGTGCCTAGGGTGCTAACAAACGCCTCCCCTGAAGTTGCACCCAATTTCACAGAGAATGTTGTACCATTTTGTGTCGCTCTCTAAGTGGGAGCTTGCGTTATTCCTGCCGACTTGATTTCTTACTTGACTAACTCAGGACTGCCATCCAGAGCACACGAGAAGTCCATCGAACCGTCCACTCGGCAAACCTGCAAGAAAGCACCTCTTCCTGCTCAATACACAGTGTATCGAGGAATTTATCCCTTATCAGTTGAGCTTGAGTAGGCTGAGGAAGATTGTGCCTGAAGAGCATCACCTATATAGTGCTCTCCAGGCACAAACATCCAGGGATACACACTTTGCTGAACAGACGCTGAGGACCGTTGGCCATTCACAACGTTGGTTCCTCTAAACCATCTCCTCAGTGTCTGTTCAGCACTTGCATGAGCGACACTTAATCACGCTGCTATCTGGTATCAAACTCACGTTAAAGTCACATCTTTGTCTGATATAGAAAGTTTCGGAAAACCCAATGGAATCGCCTCGAATGTCCCATTTTTATCTTCCAAAAATAACGGTACGCACTCGCACTTCCAACTGTGCATGGCATTTTCAAAACGTGACCAGCCTAGCCTGCAAGATCTGCAGTGGCAGACGCGGGCGCCGACTGATCGAACTGCACTGCAGGGGTCGAACAGTGCTGTACGTAGATCTGCAGTTTATGCCGTCGAAGGTTTTTATGCGGGAAAGCTCTTTTTCACTTGTTTTCGTGACTTTCAGGGATTTTGAGAGAAATCTAGGGATTATGCATGTCTTGTCAAGGGTTAGAGATTTTGGTGGCTGGTCGGTATGAATTTGTATCCGCTTTATTATTTATTACTGCTTGTTCTTTGTGGTTTCTCCGTGTCTTTCCTGTTTTCTTTTCGTTTGACCTTCGTTTTCCATTTTCCTCTTGCGCCTTCATCATTTTGTTGTTATAATATACGAATTGCGACACAATCAAGAGTATGCGTTGGAGAGCGGTACTATTTCCATTTCACTGATTCCCTATCCAAATAGCAAGGGGACGTCCGACTACAGCCGGCAATCACAGGTGATACGCAAAGAGGAAAGGGCATTTTAATGCCTATTCCTCTTTAAAGAACAAGCGCATTCAGATCCTACACAGAGAGGTTGTGTCTACCTGAGACGTAACGAGCAAGAGTTTGAAAGAAAGGCAGAACCCATTGAGGGAATTGAACAGGATGTCCAGATGTCCAGAGTAGTAACTGGGTACCGTCAAAAGGTGGAACCCTAATCCTTGGATGAGAAGTGCTACGTGCATGGGATACCCAGACAGCAGCGGATAGTAAATGGAGCAACAAAATCTCCCTACATTTTCAGAGCTGCCCTACAGTGTTTAATGCAAAATCATTTTCTCTATAACTTTCATATGTTCTGAAGTTTTAGGAAACGCGGAACGAAGATTATGATTATGGCCTTTAGATTGCTAATTGAATCTATGGGTTATTTGCCCTTTTGCGGAAAATCCTCTAAAATAATGCTCGAAAGCACTGAAATTTGCAGACCCTTCAAACCTTATGGCACCCTCTTCCTTAAACTTCTGCTCTATTTCTTCATCACAGTAACAAAGGGGGGGGGGTATCAACATATCAAAACATTAACTAAATGAACCATGAAGAAGACCGAGGATTCTGTACCTTTTCTATCGCCATGATCCGCCAAGGACCTATGAGTCCCTGGGGAAGTCCTCGTTTAGGTATACTGTTTAATGTCAGATTCATCGATTTAGTAACATATTCAAGCCAGAGTATTTTTCATGCTTCGGCGCTCAGTTGTATTAATTTTCTGCAATATCAAACGCTGTACCGTGAGAAATTGTGTTTTTTTAGCGTTGCTTGCCTTCTCCTGTAAACGGGTCTGTAGAGTTCCATGCACGTAGTTTAGCGTTGAAGTCACACACTAAGATTGTGGGCAAGTGTGGCTGGTTCTGTTCAAAGATTGTTGTTGTTGTATTCCTTCATTTTAATTCGCTCAGGGCACAGGCAATACTGCCTTCTCACCGGAGAGAGGATTCTCCGATTCCTAACAAAAACGAGAAATCTGCGATATGAATATGTATGAGAAAGATGTGAGAAAAATGAATAATGATGATGTCGGATTACGATAGTTTAGTACTGTTGTTATGCGCGATTTCCCTGACGATTACAGATAAAGCGTTCCTGGAGGCAAATGTTCAGAAAGGATGCGAGAACAAAATACAGCGTTCCTGAAAGCAAAGGTACGCCTGAAGGAAGTGAAACATTGGTCGCGTTCGTCTACGGTACAATGTGGCGGGCAGTAGAAGACATGGAAGGCCATTGGAAGCTGTTGAGTGACGCGTACTTGAAGACAGAGATGTTCTATGTCCGGTCCTCCACTTGTGTCAGCCTAGTAATCCTGTGGGAAAGACTGGATTTGACATACGCAGCTATACCTCCTCCTGTGCTGCCTAGTATGGATGTCTTTCAGTCACGTCTGAATACTACATAGTTATGGATATTTATCCTGTGGTCGGGGAGGGGTAGAAAAAAACCAAGTCTCAGTGAGAAAAAAACTATAAATATCGTGATATTTAATGAATGCTTCCAAAATGAGAGTTTTCTATGGACCTGCGAATAAGTCCCTAATCATTGACATTGCTCTACCTGGTGATCCATGTGTTGCTGATAAGGAAGTTGAGAAACATGCAAAGTATCAACTTCTTGCTCGAGAAATCCATCGGCTATGGCAAGTTGAGACTCAGTTTGTTCTTGTGGTAGTTTGGGCACTGTTTCCAAACAGTTGCCAGGATACCTTGAAACCATCGATATCACCAGCTATTGCTCTGAGTCTGAATTGCAGAAGAATGCTCTCTATGGCTCGGTAGCTATTCTGTGTAAGGTCCTTGATTTTCAATGCTCTGTTGTGGGTGGTGGAGGTCTTTTGGTCCTATTTTCCTCCAAATCCTCTCTTGTTTCCTATGATCGATTTTTTAAAAAGTGTTGTGTGTTTCTCTCTGTTTTTTTTTTGACTACGATCGTATTTAATATCCACAATTTTGATGCATGGCCCCACCTTTGGCTGCTGGATGCTAGTCCGGTGGGTGCCAATCTCCCGCGCTTCGGCCGAGTGCTGATGAATAAAACAACAGATCCCGTAATGAAGCAGCATCAGGATAGATGTGCAAAGTCATGATGCCTGGTCTGCTTCTGTCTCGGGTTCAATACTCCGTGCATTGCAGCCGTGAGTAAAACCAGCTCAGGCTGAGAGTTCCCTCCATGATTGCTTTTCCAAAGCGCATATTCTGAACTCACTCAGATCGGTCATGGTCTTCATTTTTTTTTTTCTTTCTATTTTCAGTTTTGTGTTAATTACAGTAAGGAATCCTGCCACAACGCCTGCACACATACATACGAATAACAGAGCCCTAAAAAGAAATACTAAACAGCATAAGCTGGCTCTGAAAACGCCAGCGTGACGGGGGCTGTTGTTGATCAATCTTCATTGGCATGTCTCTGGCAGCAGCGCTTGCCTTGACTGCCATGGCCAGGTTCGATTTCAGGCGGCCACGCACACCAGTGACATCTCGACGGAAGTAGTTGTCCATTGCCTGATTTGGCGGGGCGTCTGAGGGCAGTCTCAGAACATGACCCAGCATCCGGAAACGGCGGACAGCAACGATGTGCGAGAGTGGCTGTGTGTGTGCTCTGGAATATAGGTCTTTGTTGGAGATGATGGCGGCATACCTAACTCCGAAAAATGTCCGTAGTTGACGTCTATGGAAGGCTTTCAGCTTCTCCAGTGCAGCCTCCATCAGTCCCCAGATTTCGCAGTTGTGGAACAGCGTTGGTAGGACGATGGCATTGCATAGACAAAGCCTGGTTTCCTCGGATACAAGTTGACGTCATATCCAGAGCGAATATATGAGGCCATATGATGTTAATGCTTGGTCCCTTCGTGGGCTCAAGTCCTCCTCTTCCCCCAAGAGAGAGCCAAGTTGCTTGGATCTTCGCCATTCAGTGGTGGAGGCAGAGATGTGAACCCCCACTGTTTGGCTGAACCTCATTAGACTGTGAGTTTTACTGATACTTCTGTCGAACGGGTCCTTTTCACTCAGCTCCTGAAATCCTCAGAAGTCGACGCGAAACGTTTGCAAATCACAAGCGAGTTGTCTCTGTTTTGAGTTAAAATACTCTCCTCGAAAATTGAACGTCGCTTTAAAGCAAGAGAGTGGGTGGGAGAAAGTTTGCTGAGCAGTCAGCCCTACACCAGGAAAAAGTGTACGTGCGAGTATGTTGTGATGTGTGACATTTATAGTATGTGGTGCATGCAAGACTACGCCGTGTCAGAGTGTGAGAATCTGGTTCCGTCCCTGTGAGAGTGACTGTCAAGTGAATGCTGGACATGTGCAGTGTTAGTTAGGTCTGGGAATGAGAGTCGTGTGTGATTGGTCATGTGTTCTGTACGTATTGGTCCCTGATTTGTCGTCACAATTTCCATACAGGCGAACACTCCCGGTTTTCCCGGAAAAAACCCTGGGAAATCAACTACTACTCTATAAAGTTAATCACGCACTGTTTTTTTCTTTTGGTTTGAATTTTTCCTTTTCTGATTTTCGGGGTTTGCATTTGTCACGTCCCTGAACGTTACGACTGCTGCCTGATAGTCATGTGACAGCAGGATCTAGATAGTGAGCATCTGTGCTGAGCTGTTACGCCCTTTTTGATAGAATGTGGTTTGGCCAGTGTCTTGTCCCACGTGCTTAGCATGTAGGTTGAGCGACACGCGCTTTCCCACGTAGGTGACACACCTTCTTGGCATGGCACATGATGTGACCCAACGCCGGAACCTGGTCAGGTAGGTTCTCGCATTGTACGTTTCCTGGAAGTGGTTAACGTCCTGGAAATGTGACTCCAGGCTTTGTGCAAAATCACGTCACAACAACGTTCTACAGGGTTCCATGATGCCTCCTTGCTTCGTGCAAGGAGGCAAGAATAACATGACATTGCATAACAAGAGCTAAGTGTGCATAAACCAAAACCTTCACCGCGCAAGAGGTCACAGTATCAAGCAAGCAAGACCAAGAATGCAGCAGAACTTACCATAAGAAGCCACTGAACTATGGCACGTTGGGTGAGCGGGCTCCCCAACGTGACCCTCTTATACGCACATTGTACTCTGACGTGGGTGAGCGTGCTCCCCACGTCCCAATTTGGTCTTTCTTCTCCATGTCTTTCTTTCTCTTTCTTCTCGAATGATTGCGTACGTACATTCTGCTTTTCTGCTGACTGACTGCTCATATTCCAGTTTTACCTGTTCAAGAAGTTCCTGGAAATACCTCGTATCATTCTAGGCAATGATCACGCCATATCTTCAAATTGCGCTATAAAAGAAGCTCCCGCTCTCTCTTTTACTGCAGTCGAGACTCGGTCTCAGCTCTCTGTCTTGGTTTACTTTGAGCTCGGATTTGAGTGACTACTCACAACGTAAAACTAACAGTCTTTGTCTGTTGATCGTGTGGGGTTGAACTTGGACCAAGCCGGCTATATTGGTTGGCCTCTGGGTTGTGCTGGGCTTGTTGTGAGGCCACACGTCTATTCAGTTGCCGCTCGTAGTGATTCCTGGGTCCGGTCACTGAGAGCCAGGGATGCGACACATTAAATTTGCATTGCATTTTCATCCATTGTGTTTCTTTCGAACGTAAAAGACGTTTCATTCACTACTACCGGGTCCCGGGGATTTCAAACAAAAACTCCCGGTAAAGTGACGTGTTTTCGTTTGATACAGAATGTTCCTGAAAACTCCATGCATTACCCTCGAATGTCCATTTTTCTCTTAAAAAAATTACGCTGCGCAATTGCACTTCCGATTATGCACAGCACTTTCAAGACCTGACCAGCCTAGGTGATACGCGAAGAGGAAAGGGCATGAAGGAAGAGCGCAATCAGTTCCTACACAGAGAGGTTGCGTCTACCTGCGTAACGAGCAAGACTTTGAAAGAAAGTCAGAGCCCATTGAGAGAATGGCAGACGGTGTCCAGATGTCCAGAGCAGTATCTGGGTGCCGTCAAGAGGTGAAACCCTAATAGTTGGATGTAAAAGGGTTACGTGCATTGGATACCCTGACAGCAGCGCACAGTAAATGGAACAGCAAATTTTCCAATATTTTCAGAGCTGCCCTACAGTGTCTAATGCAAAAATGATGTATCCCTCTATAACTTACAGATGTTCTGAAGTTTTAGGAAATGCGGAACGAAGATTATTAAAGCCCTTTAGACTAATTGAATCCATGAGTCATTCGCCCTTTGTGGATTATTCTCTAAAAAAATGACAGATTCTACTTGAAAAGCATTGAAATTTCCAGAACCTTCAACTTTATATCACGCACTTCCGTTATTTCTGCTCCAGTTCTTCATGTACCTAACAAAAAAGGGGGTTGCCAACATAACAAAATATTAACTAAACGAACCATAAAACGGGTTTTCTTGTACCTTTTCTAACGCCAGTATACGCCAAAGACTATGAGTCCCTGGTGAAGTCCCTATTTCGGTATACTGTTTAACGTCATATTCAGTTCTCACGCAATTTTAACAATTCAAGCCAGTATCTTTTTCATGCTTAGGTGGGTCGTTATTTTTCTGCAATGTCAAAGTAATTTTAGAAATTGCGTTTTCTTAGCTTTGCAACAAACCTCATGCTTGACAATAGAAGAAAAACTACGGGGACTATAATTATTAACAGTGGCGTATGTGAAGTGTGCAACCTAACCCAGTTGCATATGAATCATGTTGTGATCAGGAGTCTAGGTTATTTCTGAAAACAGGGTCATGATTCGTCTTTATAGATTAGAACCACTACACCTAGGCTCGGTGTTTTGTGCACTACCCGGAACTATGCAAGAACAACATTGTCTTTTTGCTTTTTCGTTTGTAGAGGTTTGAGCTATAATCAGATCCAGAATTTAAGTGATGGTGTGTTCTCTGGTCTACCAAATCTCTTCTTTGCCCTGTAAGTATCATCAACTGCACCACTGAATGCAGGGAACAGTTGTATAACTGTGTGCATATAGAGTACTGCTGAACACGTGATGAACAAAACTCTAATATCTGTGAGTATTATTGGGTGCTTTCGATTACACGTTAACACAATTCTGGAACTGGTTTTTTTAAATTCCAGAATGACCAGAATGAGCGGATTCCGGCCTTGTAAACGAACGACTGGAATTCACAACACTTTTTATTCATGTCATGTCACAAACAAAATTGATGAATCGTAAAAAGAGATCACGCACACCCTCGCGCGCACGTGGACCCAACATCGCGCACACGCCGGCCAGGGAGGCTCTTCGCGCGCTTGAGTCATGACCAGACCGGTAACACACCGACCGTACAATTCTGGCGCCAGAATTAGAGAAATTCCGCCCTCTCTTCAGAATTGACGGACTCGACGGAATTGGATAAAATCAATTATAACGACGGAATTTGTCACGTTTTGTGTAATCGAACTGTGCATCAACAATAACTAATTCTAGAATTGACCGAAATGCGTGTAATCGAAAGCACCCATTATCTGCTTCACTGGATTGAAGGGAACAGTTGTAGACGCGTTGTGTAAAGCGCTTGTTGAATATCGTTTTTATTGGAAAGAAAGACGTTTCATGGCTCAATTTTGTTGTGGTCCTTTGGTATATTTTGTTTGTTTTCGCTCTCCTTTCCCCCAGTTGGACTGTTTTGGTTTCACATCCAATTTGTGCATGCACCATGGAACGGTTCTGTCATTGTCATGCGTTTCGTTTTGCTTTGTTGACGCGCATGCTCATGTGCTGCCATGATGTTTGTCATTTTCTTCAGTTTCCAGTTTCCCCTGTTGTGTCTGGACTTCTTTGTTTGTCCGTTGCCCGTCTCCGTCTTGTCGAATAATTAAATTATGTAAAACTTTAGTTCAGTTTTGTAACTTTTGTTGTTGTGTATGGCGGGTCGGATAAGCAGGGAGGCTGGGCACCTGACGCCTGGCAATATGTGCGGGAGCAAAAAAGTGCTTTATCATTCCAGTGACCCGTCAACGTCTCACAGCTCGTCTTCTTTATCCAAAATCCCATTGCTACATCACTGCTCTTGTCTATCATTATCTACGCAATACAACCAGCTTGGACAATCGACGCGCCATGATGCTCCTCTCAGTTACAACCCCTGTAATTCAACATAGTGTCATAGTTCCTTCTGCACACTAGTAGGGGTAAGCAGATTATGCTCAGAAAGTGACCGGATTATGCTGTAGGGGATGTTCGCAGGATGCTCGAGAAAACAGCTAATTATGCTTTTACGTGCTTCACCAAAAAGAACAAAAACAAAACAGATGACAATAATGAAAAAAGGACTCAGAAGAAAAAATGGATTCAGACCAAAAATATATAAAATAAAAGAAATTATTCCAAATCGACAAGAAGCGCTATGTACATGTATTGTCCTTCATTAGCAGGTGTGTATATAACAGCCTCATTGGGGATCTGCCCTGTTTTCGAATAACCCACATTATGGTATCATAAGTATATGTGTGGAAATAGAGGCGAACTATTCCACTTCATGAAGCTACTGGTGTCAAGTGCTTTTGACATGTCGAGGCCAAGGACGTGGCAATCCCACACAAAGTGGGTGGCTTTAGCTGAAATCCAGCGCTGTGTCCACACCACATCGGCAGTGCCACGGCCAGGCCTGAAACCAGACAATGACAGTGTTACCAAGTGCTCTCTACCCCCATGCGTATTGCCCAGTGCCATTTTGCAGAATTATCAGAGTTTTCCGTACTCGATTTTCAGGTCAACATTTTGACTGATTTACAGTAAGATCGGGCGCCGAAGAACGCAGGGGCTCGAGCGCAGCCTAGGAAAGTTCTTAAATTTTTGATTCTAGCCAGACCGTTCTTATTCACACGCGCGCGGCGAGTCGAGTGACGTCATGACGTTTGTCATGTACATGTACATGTACATGTAGTGCAATGTAGTTCTAAACTAGTGGGTATCGTAAATGGGAATGACTGTACATGTAGCAGTTACTGTTTACATGTGTACATGGCATGTACTCACCTCCCATACATGTACAATGTAGATCTACGTGCAAATTTTTAAATGTGTTCTTAAAATCTGATAATTCTAGCCTGGACTGTTCTTAAATTTTGCCGGTTTTCCAGCCTGGGTGTTCTTCGGCGAGGTGTTCTTCGGCGCCCGATCTTACTGTAGTTCACTTGTGAAGCCTACGTAAGAATTCAGTACAATTTTCAACTTCATCTGTTCATAACTTTGGTCTACTTCGCTTGATTTTCACCATCTAAAGCTCGTTGGAAAGCTCTAGGCAGGGTCAACGCCAGAACGCCAAGCTCCATTATGAAGCCATAACAAATCAGGCGCGGTAACACAGCAAAGTCGTCTCCAAGCCTAATATGCAAGCAAATCGTCCCTACAACACCACTCCACTCTCCTTCTTCACGGAACGCTCAAATGTTCGAGCCGATTAAAAAAAATCTTCAGCCGGCTACATCATTATAAAGTGTTCAGTTGCTCAAAGAGCATGCAAAAAGGGATCCCCCCCAAAAATGGCGAAGAGTTCGACCAAAAATTATATTTTGACAAGGTAAGAATGCCTGAATACGGCGCGCGATATCTCTTCAGCCATTGTTTCATTGGACAGTTTGGAGTTTTTGCTACCACTTAGACTCTTCGATTGTTGAATTTGCACAAGAAACGATGGAGTTACAATGGTTGTAGAAATCGTTCATATACATGATCGTTTGCGGGATATTCGATTGACATCCGTACTGCGGACAAAACTTCGTTTTCCGTACAAATACGGACAAACACGGGCGGTTAGCAACACTGCGAAGTGAATCGAAACGAAATACGTGGTGAAATAACTGAACACTTCTGTACCAGGATACGTTCGCGCCTTGTTAATGATAGGCTTACAATGTGCGGAATGAGGTTTTGGGTACAGTGAGTGGGAGAGCTAGAGGTGAGTTCAAACCGCACAAGGATATTGAGTATTGAAACAGTTTCCGATTCTTTGAAGTGATATGGCAAGAGCGAAGAAACTTGCTGTTGCCCCAAGGTGAAACGGAAAAAGACTAACTCAACAGAAAAGAACAAGATGGATGTCATGTCGTGGTCGACACGCGGTGGTCTGGGTGTGAGCCCAGAATGGCGAACTGGCGAGGTACTACGTATGGAACTGTAAGTGAAAAACGAGGAGAAAAAAAAGGTGAAGCCAGATAGCGACTCCTGTACATGTAGTAATATGATGACTTGTATTGCATTATGCGTATAGCTGGAATAGAATCACGACACGCGTCGTGACAATCCCCCCCAGAAAGACGGGAACGAAGTTACTACAGTACATGTAGATGAAAATAAGAAATTGGGAGACGGTAGATGGAAAGAGAAAGACAATAAATTTTTTAACCATGATGCTGGCAAACAAGTCATCTTCACAACTTGTCGCTGTTGATTAGCTGCTGGAGTTGCTGGCGTTGCCTTGCAGCAGCTGCACGCTTCGGACGACCAGGCGGCGGCGTGGCGGCGGGTGTGGCTGTGGCAGCGGGTGCGGCGGCGAGTGTATCTGCGGCTTCGGCGGGTGTGTCTGCGGTAGCGGGTGCGGCGGCGAGTGTATCTGCGGCAGCGGGTGCGGCTTCGGCGGCGGGTGCTACATCCTCGCATTCCAGAGGATACAGAAGACGCAATGGGCGTTTCAGCTGGCATTCGTCTGCAGTGATGATTGTCGCCGACCGGATGTGACCGTCGGCGCTAACCTTGAGATCAACAATCCTAGCGAGCCTCCAGGTAGCTTTGGGTGCGTCATCAGCCAGCAAGACAATTGAGCCGACTGCTGGAGCCGCTGTGGTGGCTCTACCACGCTTTTGAAGTCGCTGATGGCGGTCACGCAGTTCCGCCAAGTACTCATTGCGCCACTGTTGCCAGAAGGCATTCAGCAGGCGCTCACCCTTTGCCCAGAGGGTGACCAGGTCGTGTGCTGGGGTGGCGTTCGGAACGTACTCCGGGTCGTCCGAATTGTCCGGCGAGGGCAGTGGTAGAGCTGTCGTAGTCCGGTGACAGAGAAATGCCGATGGTGTCAGCACAGTCTCGATGTCGTCACCGACGTATGTCAGCGGTCTCGAATTCAGGACTGCCTCGACTTCGCTCAGCATCGTCACCAGCTGTGACAACTGAAGCCGGGCGTTGCCGAGGGTCTTGCGCAAGCAACGCTTTGCAAGCCCAACCATGCGCTCATAAAACCCGCCCATCCAGGGCGAGAGAGGCACGATAAACCGCCAGCGTATCCTGGCAGATGTCAGAAGGTGCTGAAGGTCGTCACTTCGCACCGACGTCTCGAATGCCGTGTCCAGGGCCGTTTGCGCCAGTGCGAACTGAGGCGCGTTGTCGCACACAATGAGTTTGGGTGCGCCACGTTTTGATATGAAGCGCCGGAGCGCTAGCAGGAACTCAGACGTTGTCATGTGTTCAACACACTCCATATGGACAGCTCGTGTCGTCATACATGTGAACAGTGCCACCCACACTTTCTGTGGCTCTGCTTGCCAGAAGACGTACAGGGGGCCAAAGTAGTCCAGGCCGGTATTGGTGAACGCAGTGGCTCTGGAGACTCGTTCCATTGGCAATGGCGGGAAGTCGGGCGTCGCAAACGGCAGTCCTTGAACGCGCTTACACGTCACACATTTGTGTATTGCTTTCCTTACCGCGGCGCGACCAGTGGGTATCCAGTGCTCCGTGCGGACTCGCGCGAGCGTGTGCGCGACACCGTTGTGTAGCACTTTCTGATGCGCTTGCCGGATGACAAGTAGCGTGACGTGGTGCGCGGGGGGCAGGAGAGCGGGAAACTTGGCGCTGTCTGCTAGGTCAGCGTTCTCCAAGCGCCCGCGGCAGCGGATGACGTCATCGGGGCCTTGGAAGAGCTTGAGCTGCTGGATAAGCTGTTGCTGCTTTCCTTGGCGTAGAGCGGTGAGGAC